GGTCTGTCAGTCAGAGTGTGAAATCAGCCTCAGCGCAGCCGATTGTGTGTCTGTCGGGATCTTTCTGAACGTCTTCATGATTCATGTCTGCTCTGAAGCGCTCGCAGATCCAGAGGAGATGAAGGAAAGCATCTGAGTGTCTCACATGTTCAGGAATGAGTTCATTTCTTTCTGATTGATGTCCATGTAAAATCTAAATTTACAATGTTTATTTTGCTTCCTGGGGCGACACGGTGCCTCTACTCTAGCACTGAGGCCTCACAGAAAGAAGGTTGCTGGTTCGAGTCCCGCCTGGGTCAGTTGGCATTTCTGTGTGGAGTTTGCATGTTCTCCCGTTTCCCCCACAGTCCAAACACATGTGCTATAGGGGAATTGAGGAACTAAATTGGCCGTAGTGTATGAGTGTGTGAATGAGTGTGCGCTGTGTAAAACATATGCTGGATAAGTTGGCGGTTCATTCCGCTGTGGTGACCTCTGATGAATAAAGGGACTAAGCTGAAGGAAAATGAATGAATTAATGAAATAACGCACTCTGTGGCAATATTAAACATAATTGTTTTATATTTTATGATTCGTAAAGGCTCATGCACACCAGGACGCTTTTTGTTTGCGTTTATGATCAGCGAGCGTTTTTCAAGATGTTTTTCCATATTCACACCCAATAGATTTTCATTGGCGTCAAACAGAAGAGTATGCAAAATCACTCCTAGGCATTAGATGGCGCTACACAACTTTAGGCTTCTGACATCCGCTTGTAACACAGAAGACAGAGGGCCCTATCATACACCCGGCGGAATGAAGCGCAAGCCGCGACGCAATTGTTGTTTGCTAGTTTCAGCTTCAGCTAGTTTTCCACCACGCTGTTTAAATAGCAAATGCATTTGCGCTCATATGTGCGCCCATAGGCGTTCTGCTCTAAAAAAGGGAGGCGTGTTGAGGTGCATTGCTGGCGCGTTGTTGAGGAACTAAAATAGACTGTTCAATAGACCAGATCAAAGCAGGTCTGTAGTCCAGCGCAGAGAACTGAATTTAGAAACAGTTTAGAAACAAATCTTCGCACTTAATAAACGAAATTACAGTTTTTTTCAGTCGCTTTGGTGCATTTCTCTCAACACTATTTACATTTGCACAACAGGTCATGCATTTATCAAAACAATCAGTCATTTGTCTCTCTGGATATACCACTAACTGTACTCAAAAAATAAAAAATGTACTAATGCTTTCCTTCTTACACTTTACACACCTGAAACTTGCCTACAGCACTTATTCATTGTTGCTCTTATAGTTGTGTAAATTGCTTCCTTGTCCTCATTTGTAAGTCGCTTTGGATAAAAGCTTCTGCTAAATAACTAAATGTAAATGTAAATTTGTGCACATCCTAGTAGCAGTTTCTCATTCCTTTCAACAAATTGCAAATGCTTTTGGACATGCATACATTTTTTTTCATACAACTCTGTTGTTTATAATATTATCATCTGCTTATGTCATGTCAGTCAAAATGAACTCAACTTGTAAATGCTGAATAGTCACTCCATATAAAACTAATAGTTCTCATTTCATTACTGGAGTCATTACATACAAAAATGGTGAACTAGTAGTCAAAAATCTGTAAAGCAAATTTTTTTTTAAACAAATTTAAATCTTTATTTTCCTGAAAATGTCTCCTAAATTGAACAATTTGATGAATGATTTACAGACCTGTGTGTGTTGTAGGCTCAGTTCCAATATGTCCTGCAGAATTGTCTACAGTTGTGCACAGCTCTACCTAAAGGGAGTGTATGTTTGTTGTAAATAAGGGTGTGTTTATTCTTCTGCACAATGCTGGGAATAAATTAGGACTGCAAAGAGCAAATATAGTAAACATGTGAAACATACATATTCAGTGTCTTGTACTCAGATACCTCACTAAATGCAGTGATGTCTGACTTTACTGTTGTTTTCAAATGGCTGTGCAAATAGTATATAGTGCTGTCTTGAGCATTTTCAGGAAGTGTCACCAAAATCAGACTTTTTTTGCATTGAACAAATGTACAGAGTAAAGTGTCATAATGAAAACAATGATTAAGCCATTTGACTATCGTGTTCATAAACAATGGTGTCAGGACTTTTCATTTTGATGACACTGACACTTTGATTGACATCAACACTTGCTTTTGAGGAATGAGCTCTCCATTTTGAGCAGGTGACGCGCTTTTGCAGGTTATCAGCTAGGTTTTGCAGTTTGTACTAATTGTTTTGAGAAATGCATTAAATGTTGTGCAGAAATGCACTAGTGTTGTGAGAAACGCACCAAAGCGACTGAGTAAAACTGTAATTATGTATAGGCTAATGGATGTCTGTGCGTACAACACAGTTTTTACACTTACAAAGTCCGTCATGTAAATAGCAAATGCCCTATTGACAAGCATGGATGCTCCAGCGCTAGCAATGAAGAAATGATTATTGTTCAGCAGTGCAATAAGCAGCTCTATGGTCATATTGCCTCTGGGCATCTTCTTCAGTGTGCGCTCGCATTGACAGTTTTATGCTTGAGCGCCTCCAAGTGCTGTTTACTGTAACTTCAGCAGCTCCGTGCACGTGAACAAAAGTGCCGATCTGAGTGGCACATCAAAACAGAAAAACGAGCATGAGGCGTCTCTTTAAAAATGACGCTTTTACGCCTGGCATTTTGCGCGTCGGTGTGCACGATCACATTGGCGCCCTTTATTGAGTCACGAGGCTTTAAACATCGATGGAAAATGCAATCAAAAAGTGTCCTGGTGTGCACCGACCTTAACGCTCCATTCACACGGGGCGTCAGCGTCAACGCTTCCCATTCACGTTGAATGGGTGACGTCAAGCGTTGCCGAACTGCATTGTGGATCCGTCAGCGCCGCTTCAGAAGTGTTGCTCGCTGCAGAAGTTGGGACTAGCTCAACTTTATAAGCGTCAGCCAATCAGATCGCTGTATGCAAATACACCAGCTAGACAGTGGCCTATTGCTGACTGAATTTCATTGGCTGATGCTTCTATGACGATCGCTTCAGACCCAACTTCAGACACGCCTTCAGTCAAGCATTGACGCTGAAACCCGGTGTGAATGGAGCGTAAGAATTACTTTTTAAAATGGAGGCATCCTTATATATCATCATCCAAATTTATTTAAGTCCTTACATACAATTTTCTATGATTAATGTACACAACTCTACATATTAAGTGGAAAAGATATTTATTCTTTCGCCTAATAAACCTGATAATGATGATTATCTATTCTTCTCTTAAAACAGATTATTATTTATTGGGCCTAAATCCTGTACACAGCAGATCTCACAACTCGACCTGCAATTAGAGGGATACAAAGTTAGCGTTAGCTCTACTATAAAAGATCTGGGTGTCATATTAGACAGCAACGTTACTTCAAAGTCATATGTACCATGCCACAAAAACTGCCTTCTTTCATCTGAGAAATATTGCTAAGTTATGAAGTATGCTATCCATCTCAGATGCAGAAAAGCTAGTCCATGCTTTTATGAGCTCTAGGCTGGATTACTGTAATGCTCTGTTCAATCGCTGCCCAGCATCCTCTATTAACAAACTTCAGCTAGTACAAAATGCAGCTGCCAGAGTTCTTACCAGGTCTAGAAAACCATCCCAATTTTATCCTCCTTACACTGGCTGCCTGTTTAGTTTCGTATTGATTTTAAAATATTGATTTTTATCTATAAAGCTTTAAATAATCGAGCCCCTGTTTATCTAACCAACCTTCTGTCTCGCTACAATCCAACCCGCTCTTTAAGATCTGATAACTCAGGGCTTCTGGTAGAACCCAGAATAGCAAAGTCTACTAAAGGAGGTCGTGCCTTTTTATTTATGGCTCCTAAACTCTGAAATAGCCTTCCTGATGATGTCCGAGGCTCAGACACACTCTCTCAGTTCAAAACTAGATTAAAGACCTATCTGTTTAGAAAAGCAGACACACAATGCATCACATAGCAGTATGAAGCATGAGTGTGCTCCTCACAGGTGAGCTAGCTTGACAACCACCTGCAGGACACACTCCTCCTTAATACACCAGACATGGTGTTAGAAACTTTCATATGCTGTACATGTTTGTTTATATATCTGCTATTTTCATTTATAACACTCGTATATATACACAATGAACAGCTAATTATTTCTTCATTCTCTATTTCCACCTGGGGATATTCTTTTTGAGGTCCATTGTGAATATGCAGCGCCATTGATGCGATCCAAGATGATCCCAAGGTATCCATAATCCTGGACCAGGCCGTATCCTGTGCTGATGCTGTTGTGGTCATGGAGGAATGGAGTGCATGAGACTGATTGCTGAAAGACCACCGTGAGAAATGAGTCTTCGCATTGATCCTGTGTGCCAGCCTGACCCCCCACCGATGACCTACTCTCACCTACAGCTTCTCCACAATGGACATCCAGCGTTCTCCAGCGCCTAGATTGCAGCTCCACACATAAGCTTGGCCAGAAGAATAATGGTCATTGCCCGCTGAGCCTGGTTTCTCTCAATGTTGTTTTTCCTTCACTTTGATCAATTGGTGAAGTTTGTTCCTCCACTGTCGCCACACTTGTGGAGCTGCGCTTTGGTGGATTTGCTCTTCAGTGTTTGGAATTTCAGCAGTGAAAATTAACCCACACTAAACTAAACTTAACTAAACTTTAACTCTGAAATTTGGACTTTATTGGAGCTATGTTAAGCTGCTTTGACACAATCTACATTGTGAAATGTGCTATTTAAATAAGCATGAATGCAATTGAATTTCCAAGACTGAGGAAGATCTGCTCCTCGAAGGAGCAACACTATAATGTAATTAAAAATGACCTATAGTGTTTGATCTTGATTTGTAACTATCTCCAGGTCATTTTGAGGGCTCTTGTTGAGAAGCAAAGATCTAAAAGTCATTATCCCATGCATATTCCCTCCTTTATCCGCTTCACGTTCAGCAGATGATGGTGGTTGTGTCATCTTAAGCACATGGTCACCTACGAGCATCAATAAATAATGGCTTTATTTGTCAAAATCATGCAGGTCTTTGAGTTCCCTTTACAGATCACACACAGTTATATGCGCACAACGCTACACGGTACACTAAAGTCTTACAGGTTATTTTCCGATGAGGTTTTTTTTGTTATCAAAATTCTCTACATGAGTAAAATTTCTCTCACATAGTTGCGGCTGGTTCTTTTTAGCCCATTTGTTGTTATTGCAATGATTCACATTGTTTTTTCGTATATAACAAATAGGAAAAGCATCTGGTCTTTGTCATGGCTATGAAAGAAAGTGCAGTGGTTTCCTGAAGGATGGGAAATGTCCGTCATGTGAGCTGGCCAATCCGCTCCGGTAAAGTCTGTGCATTATTAAGCATGTAGTCTCTGTAGTGGGAGGATCCCGCGCTTCCAATGAGTATTGCTTCGGTGTCAAACTAAATCTAGTGCCAATGCGATTTTGGACCAATTGTTGACTGGAATGAAGCAGGAAAAGTCTGTGATGTACAGTAATACTGCAGTCGGACAGCTTAAATGTTCTTAAACCTAAAAAACTGCGTGTGATATAGATCAGCTTGCGTGGTTACGTTTTAAAGGTTATCCTTAAACTTGCATAATAAACATGCAATGAAAGAACTTTCCGGAGAATATTCTTCTATATAAAGAGTAACTCTGCATGGGTGCATTATTAAAAGTAGTGAAAAGAAAGAAACGCAAAGAAACGGAGCAGCCGAGGAGAGTCCTGAGGGGTTCCAGCGCTCGCTCCGGCTCATCTTCATCTTGCATAAGGCACCGGATCCCCATCTAAAACAACAAAAAAACGTGCATCGTTCATCCGGATGAGTCCGTCTGCGTCCCGACGACCCGCTCCCCTCCTCTTTAGTACGTCTCTAATAGTTCATAATGAAATGAAGAAGCGCTGCACGGCAGAAAGTGACGCTCTTCAGACGCAGATTGAAAACTTCACACATTCACTGTGTGTCAGTGGTTTGACTGAAGAGATTCTGCCATCCAGTGTATGTACTGTATGTGTGTGTGTGTACGTGTGTCTGTATGTGTGTGTGCACTTGTTTCTAATTGAGCTGGTCCTCGTATTGTTTCCGGAAACAGTCGCCAGCAGGAAAGAATTCCCAGCAGCGTTCCTGGTACATTTTCCAAACGTACGACTCCTGAAAGACAAGCAAAAATAGTGTTGACTGGGTATTTACAAGAATTACAGTAATATTCAATACTTTTAAAGACTTCATCGCCACTACCAGTAACATATGCGAAATTGCAATGTGCAGTGTGCACTTACTGGCCACTTTATTAGGTACACCTTACTAATACTGGGTTGGACCCTCTTTTGCCATCAGAACTGCCTTAATCCTTCATGTCAGAGATTCAACAAGCTACTGGAAATATTCCTCAGAGAATTTGCTCTATATTGACATGATAGCATCACGCAGTTGCTGCAGATTTGTCGGCTGCACAACCATGATGCCAATCTCTCGTTCCACCACATCCCAAAGCTGCTCTATTGGATTGAGATCTGCTGACTGTGGAGGCCATTTGAGTACAGTGAACTCATCGTCATGTTCAAGAAACCAGTCTGAGATGGTTGAGCTTTATGACATGCTGCGTTATCCTGCTGGAAGTAGCCATCAGAAGATGGAGACACTGTGCTCATGAAGGGATGGACATGGTCAGGTAGGCTGTGGTGTTGACACCATGCTCAATTGGTACTAATGGACCCAAAGTGTGCCAGGAAAATATCCACCACACCATTACACCACCAGAATGTTGACGCCACATTCTGACCAGACCATCCAAATGTGGCAACGTTTCTCCAATCTTCTATTGTCCAGTTTTGGTGAGTCTGTGTGAATTGTAGCCTCAGTTTCCTGTTCTTAGCTGACAGGAGACTGAGCAGTTTGACGAGCAGTTGGACAGGTGTCCCTAATAAAATGGCCGGTGAGTGTATTCACTAAATACAGAATGTTAACTCAAACATTATTCATGTAAGTAAGTAAAGTAAGTAAAGTTTATTTATAAAGCACATTTACTTCAGTTTGGCACTGACCAAAGTGCTGAACAAAACCATGTACTGAATAAAAATGCTAAACCAGCAGGGGTGCCTATAAAACAGCAGGAATAACAGTGTTGCCTGTTTTACTGCAATAAACAAAGCAGAATTAATCTAACACACTGCAAAAAATGCTTTTCTTACTTAGATTTTTTGCCTTGTTTCTAGTCTAAATATCTAAAAACTCTTAAATCAAGTGAAATTTTCTAGACAAGCAAAACATGTTGTCTTATTTTCAGAAATAATATGCCAAAATTAAGTGAGTTTTCCTTAAAACAAGTTAAATAATCTGCCAATGGGGTAAGCAAAATAACTTGTTTTTTCTTTTGACGTAAGATTATTTTGCTGACCCCATTGGCAGATTATTTTGCTTGTTTTAAGGACAAACTCACTTAATATTGGCATATTATTTCTGAAAATAAGACAATATGTTTTGCTTGTCTAGAAAATGCTTCTTGATATAAGAATTTTTAAATATTTGGACTAGAAACGAGACAAAAAATCTGAGCAAGAAAAGCATTTTTTGCAGTGCAGGATTTAAGTGAAGTTTTACAAACTAATTTCGAGAGGAGCACTTGATATGATTGACAGCAGCTGGTCTTTCATCTACAATTATTAGTTAGCCAATCAGATTAATCCAAAACTCACTATAAGTAACCTAGCTAGAACTACTCCCTTATCTTTGTTTTCCGAAGAAACCCCCATCCACCCACTTCTCCCCCTTTCTTCCTTAACCACGGGGAGCTCTCGAGAACCACCTGATCTCGTACTCCGCTTACATACTCAATCGACTAGGCGGGAGCCCTGGGCTCAATTATCTCTCTCTCCCGGAACAGCATGCCAAACCTGCTATCATTTGTCAAACTAAATCTAAGTGTGAACTCTTGAATCGATTTCATAAACTGCACACTAATATTCGCAAAGTAAATTCAGGCAAACTTTAGCATACATATACATTGCATAATCAAAACTGCACAAAATGTATTACTTTAAATGTCTTTTTAAGGGCCTTTAATTTCCCTAAACTGCCTCATCAACTTTAAAAAGTTTGGACCATACCTGTCAACCCTCCCGAGATCTCGCTATCATGCTGTAAAGGTATTTTCCCGTATTTCTCCTGTATTTTTAGTTTTTCTATGAAGGGCGGCAATAAACATCAAAGAACTAATCCTCCCTATACGCAACCCATACCACCAAACCACCAGGGGCCGCCCCTTGCTCTTAAATGTAAATCTGTTCTGTGCTTTCAATTTATTTAGACATGAAAACACTTTAAAATAAATATAATGACGGCGGGATTCCCTTTCTTTACATTACAGGTGCATTCACTCCTCCTATGCAATCCTCAAAGCAGTCATATAGCAGTGCGTGACTGTCAGCTGACGTGCTCCATAATGATAAACACACGCTGGTTCCCTAACGGATTCTGTACACGCATTGAAGCGGAGAGAAAGTCTGACATATTTATTTATTTATTAATAATTTCTAAACAGGAAAAAGATTAAAAGATAATCAGGCCTGACTCAGCATGATTGCTGTTTTTTAGGAGGTTCCTGCTCTGCAGAACATAAAAACAGACAGACATCTCATCCATCAACACAGTACAAACAATCACCAAACATATGAAATAGAGAAAACCAGGCTACTATCTCAGTGGCTACAGGGATAGTTGACCATCAGATGAAGAGCATGGGATTTTTAAAAAGTCTCAGTGTTGGTATTGTTTTGTGGGATCTCATTCCAGGCTTTTGTGAAAACATAAAAGAAAGATCTCTGTCCATAACAGTTTTTAAAAGCCGGGAGTGGCAAACATTCATTTGTTACAGATCTAGTGGAACAGTGTGTTGAGTTTTGGTACCAAAGCACAAAGGGCTTCTGAGGTAGCGCTATTTAAAATTTGATAGTACAGTTTAATACCTGTGTTCATAATGTAGTTTGGAAATGTTAAAGCTTTAGAAAGTGATAGAGCAAAACAGTGAAATGTCCATCCATAAAGTCTGTTGTGGATCTTATAGGCCCTATTGTACAGTCTAGCTATTGGCTCCAAGATATCATTTGTTGTAAGAGACCAAACAGGCAAACAGTAAGACAGGGCCTACTCACACTATGCCATCCGAACCGTGCCCAGGCCCGTTTCCAGGATCGTTTGATGAACCTAAACGAGCACATGTCACTCCGCTGCTAGTCCGTTTGCACTGGCTGCCAGTTGCTGCTCGCATCAAATTCAAAGCTCTGATGTTTGCCTACAAAGCGAATTCTGGCCTTGCTCCTTCTTATCTGCTCTCGCTTCTGCAGATGTATGTGTCCTCCATAAACTTGCGTTCTGTGAATGAACGTCGCCTCGTGGTTCCATCCCAAAGAGGGAAGAAATCACTATCGCGAACGCTCACGCTCAATCTGCCCAGTTGGTGGAATGAACTCCCTAACTGCATCAGAACAGCAGAGTCACTCGCTACTTTCAAGAAACGACTAAAAACTCAACTATTTAGTCTCTACTACACTTCCTAATCTGCAATTGCCTCTCTGAATATCACACTAACTGTACCAAAAAAAAAAAAAAAAAAAACTAATACTACTAATACTTCCCTTCTTAGACTTTACAGACCTGAAACTTGCCTACAGCACTTATTCATTGTTGCTCTTGATTGTGTAAATTGCTTCCCTGGCCTCATTTGTAAAGTCGCTTTGAATAAAAGTGTCTGCCAAATGACTAAATGTAAAGGTAAATGTAAAGGTTGAGTGCGCTGATTCGGGCTCAAGCACGGTTCACTTGGCCGGCCTGTTCCGGTTGGAAGAGGTGTGCCTGAGCGCAGTTCACTTGGGCTTGTGTGTGAGTGCAAAACGCGCCAAAGCCCAAAACTGAAAGCGAGTCGTGACTTTTAAGGGACTGTTTCATATGGATTTATTAATAATTCTTACTGTTCAGTGAACGCAAACTGCCGTAGTTCATTAAAGACATAAACCTCTCACTGCACGACAGCTGCACCTTCAGCAGACCTCCTCATTCCTGCAGCACGAGGGCTTTATGATTGTTTATGAGCGCCAAAAGTTGCGGATCAGTTCGGTGAAATATCTGACTGCGTGTCCCCGCATCCCTAAGGACTGTTTGGGGAAATATTTGACTGCATGTCACTGCATATCAAACGACTGAAACGATATAAGTAGAGAAACCTCCACTGTGCTGCTGAGTGAGAGAGAGAGCGCTTCTCACTGAACAGCGCAGCAGTGATGACGTAAGCGTGCCGAGGCCCGATTGTGGTGTGAGTGCGGGCCGTAAGGGGAGACGGGAGGGGGGACAAGCGTGCTTTGGCCCGGTTTGAGGCAACTGTACCTAGTGTGAGTACGGCCTAAGACAAGGTAGACAAGATAGTGGCATGCAGATAATTAATAAGCATCTGCATAATTATCCACATAATTATTAATAATAACGTCTAAAGATGTCGATCTTAATGTTTTTTTTCTCCAAACACAACTAATTTTGTCCTAAATAAGCATAAAAAGTTAGAAAAGCAATTGAATGCTTTCATTATGTCAGATGTGTGCATGTTTAAAGTGACTCCTCTGTTATTTAATGTAATCACATTAAAAATCTGAATGAGAGATGCATTCTCTGCTCTTTAATCAGAGTGTTTAGGTTATACAGTGAAGAAAAGTTTATTGAGATTTGATAACTTGATTCAATTTCTTTATAATAGCTCATTTTAAAAATAGCCAATAATGTTTTGGTGTTATGGTGGACATATCTCTTATTTTTACATCCCAATGTTGACAGGTATGCCGCGGACAGCCTGGTTGAAGAGCAGAACAAACAACAGAACCAAAGGATAAGGAGGGGATGATGGGAATTACCTGGCCTGTGTGCTCTGTTTCATCCTTGTTGATGAGATACATGAAGAAAAATCTGCAAAGACACACAGTTTACCTTGATTTAAATATGCACTGTTGCGCAGCCAAGTTTAATGACTTGCCAAAGGCAGCTAGTCTACAGGGCTCATCTGGACACTGCATTGATCTGTATCTCATTTGCTTTTAGTCTCTAGGTAAAACACTTGAAGACGCAGTCATTAAATCCTCTTGAATATGGAAGGCGGTAGAGCTGGCTGATTAATTGAAGCTGTTTTTAATGCACATTTTTTACAGTAAAGCCAGTTCTGTAAACGGTAGTAGATCTCAAGCACATGCTTTAAGATGGAGCAGCCTTTATTACACAGATTCATACCTCACAGACAGGCAATGTTCATAATTATGTTCATAATGACAGGCAATTTAATAAAAATCGGAGATATTCATTCTGCAATTATGACAGCTGTTTGCGAAGCTTCCCAGTAAACAATGGTTATGTGTAGTGATTGCTGCTACATCTGAAAGCATGTGAAAATACCATGTTTTTACTCCAAACTCAATTTAGTTGAGTTCTTAAAATAACTCATTCTGCGAGATGATTTTGTTAACGTGCGATTATCACGTTAAATCAATAAAAACAATTAAATCTGTTTATAATGCAACTGTACTGGATTTCCTGGGTTTCCTATTCATGCTTGTTTGGAGTTTCCACACATGAGTGCCCCTGTGGCTTTCAGACTGATCACAGAACTGCGCTTCCCTAACAAGATGTGCATGACCATCACAGCAATTATTTTATTTTCGCTTAATCTTTGAATGCTGATGACTCACAGATAGTTGGCCAGGTTGTGTTCCTGCAGTGTGTGCGTCTCGAAGCCATGAGGAACAGTGTCGAAATAATCGTTCCCGATTCCACAGATGAAGCACTTCGTCTGCGAGAGGAAAGACATAATTTTTTTTTATCTGGCATGCTTCTGATTTCATACAGCTCTTGCTTTTTACAGACACTTTCCAGGTCTATTTGAATAATTTTCCAGCACTTTACAAGGGTGGCGAATTACATATTTACAAACATGCTTCATCACATTTTATCAGATTCTATTCGTTGGCAACAATGAATTACTGTCATTTACGCTTTTAAACGTCATTTACTTGCAGCTTAAATGTATATTTATTTTAAAGGGGTGGTCCAGAATGTAATGTTAAGGCTTGTTTGTGTTAATAAGATGCAAAGCAATGTGTGCTCATGTTTCACTTGAAGGAAATCATGTTATTTTTTCATAAATCTCACTTTGATTATATACAGCTACTCAGCTAACATGAAAACGACTTATATATCTCCTAGTTCCTCTGAAAGGCCCGCCCTCAAGAGACTCTGATTGGTCGTGTGTCATAATGTGCTGCGATTCGTGGATCGGCTCCACGGCAAGCCCGTCCAAGCATGCACGTTTTGTGTAGACAGTCAGTCAACCTCATGCTCCCTCTCTGTAATAACATCTGACAAGTGTCTGTAACGAGTGAAAATGGGGTGTGGCTCCTTTAAGAGAGTGTGTGTGTGTTTATGTGTGTGCGTGTGTTTACTATGAACTATCTGTAACACGAGAAGCGCATGTGCTCGGTAGAGATATTTATTTTTCTTTTCCTATATATATATATATATAGAAATATATATATATATATATGTATATATATATATATATATATATATATATATATATATATATATATATATATATATATATATATATATATATATATATATATATATATATATATATATATATATATATATATATATATATATATATATATATATATATATATATATATATATATATATATATATATATATATATATATATATATATATATATATATATATATATATATATATATATATATATATATATATATATATATATATATATATATATATATATATATATATATATATATATATATATATATATATATATATATATATATATATATATATATATATATATAGATATATATATATATATATATATATATATATATATATATATATATATATATATATATATATATA